ACTTTTTCCATAATCTCAATTAACACCACATATGACAATTACTTTTCCTGGATCAGAAGGTTAGTATTCTATTTAGCAGTACTTCAATATGAACATTAAATATATATTTGTATTCTTTATCAGCACATTTATATGTAAACACTGTGACTGTAACTATTGAGGAACAGCCACACAGAAGTAAATAAGTAATATTTAAAAATCTACACACAACTTCAACGTACATACGTTTCATGTATGCACACAAATACAGAAATAGGACAAACATTTAAATTCCCAATATTATAGAATTCTGCAGCTTTGAATCCTTTATTCATTAATGGGATGAGGGCATCACTGGCTAGGCAGCATTTATTGCCCATCCCTAATTGCTCAAAGGGCAGTTGACAGTCATCATCATCATAGAATCCCTACAGTGTGGAAACAGGCCCTTGAGCCCATCAAGTCCACACTGACCCTCACAGCATCCCACCCAGACCCATCCCCACTACAACCCACCTAACCAACACATCCCTGAACACTACGAGCAATTTAGCACGGCCAATCCACTGAGCCTGCACATCTTTGGACTGTGGGAGGAAACTGGAGCACCCAGAGAAAACCCAGCCAGACACAGGGAGAATGTGCAAACTCCACACAGTCACCCAAGGGTGGAATTGAACCTGGGTCCCTGGCGCTGTGAGGCAGCAGGGCTAACCACTGAGCCACTGTGCTGCCCCATCAGCCACATTGCTGTGGGTATGGAGTCATACGTAGGCCAGACCAGGTAAGGATGGCAGTTTCCTTCCCTAAAGGACATTAGTGAACCAGATCGGTTTTTCCGACAATCAACAATGGATTCATGGTCATTATTAGATTCTTAATTCCAGATATTTTATTGAATACAAATTCCACTATCTGCTGTGGCAGGATTTGAACCTGGGTCCCCAGAACGTTATTTAGGTCTCTGGATTAATAGTCTAGCAATAATAGGCCATTGCTTCCCCTTCAATTAGGCTCAAAAAAAACCCCATTAAAAGTATGAAAAGAGGGGAAAAATCTTGAAATCTATGCAAGAGAAATTTCTCAATTTGTACTTTTCTAGCTCAGCAAGGAAGGAAGCAGTGTTGGTTCCAATGCTGGTATAGCAAGAACAGCAGCATATTTGGGACAGAATTTAGAGATCAGTTAACAAATAATGCAATGTAACAAGGATAAAGCTTGATATAAGACACAGCAGAAGAAGGGAATAATCCAATGAAGGGATGATATTTGCCAAGGCCATCAAACTTAAAGTGGAGGGAGAAAGCAAGACAAACTTCTCATTGCACCAAGGAATCAGACAAGAGTCGGGAAAATTGATGACAGGACAAACTAAAAGACTTTGTAGCTGAATGCATATAGCTTTTGGAAAAAAAGTTAGTAAGTTAACATTGCAAATTGAGATAAGTGGGTATGACCTGATGGCAATTATAGAGATGTGGTTAAGGGAGACCAGGCCTGGGAGGTGAATATACAAGGGTACTTAGTGTTTAGTGAGGATAAGAAGAAAGGAAAAGGAGGTGGCGTAATTTGTTAGCAAAGAATGAAAGCAGTGCTGTAGTGAATGACGTAGGCAGTAGAGATATAAGCATTGAGTCAGTCAGGCTAGAAATAGAAATAGCAAGGAAGCAAAGTCCCTACTGGGAGTAATCTATCGGCCCCCTAACAGTAGCTCCACATTAAGACACAATGTAAACCAGTGTATTCATAGACGGAATTAATCAATATGATGAGGGTAGCCTCAAGCGAGAGTTCATGGAGTTTGTTAGAATTTGTTTCTTGGACCAATATGTTGGAGAACTAACCAGGGAGCAAGTTATTTTGGATTTAGAATTAGCAGTGAGCAAATAGGAAGGCAAACAACATTAGCCTTCTTCGTAAGTGGACTCAAGTACAGAAATAAAGATATCTTGCTGAAATTGTATGGACCTTGGTGATAGTACACCTGGAATATTGTGTACTCTTTTGACCCCCTTATACAAGCAGCATTTGTATTCCCTAGAGATTCAAAGAATGAGATGATGTCATGGAAACGTACAAAATTCTTACAGGACGTGACATAGGGTTGATAAAAATAAGATGTTTCACCTGGCTAGTGACTCTAGAAACAGGGGACATTAGGTCATTGTAGGGGGTAGATCATTCACAACTGTGTTAAGGAGGAATTCCATCAATCAGAAAGTGATGACTCTTTGAAATTATTGACCCCAGAGGTCCGTTGAAGCTCAATCAATGAGCTTGTTCAAGACTGAAATGACTTCAAGAGATCTGGTGGGACGGTGTGTAAGTAGCTTTGAGATAAATGGTCAGTCATGACCTACTTGAATTGCAGAGCAGGCCTACTCTCATTTCTATTCTCGTATAGGCATTAAATTCAAATTGGTATTATTTTGTGCTGTGAATTTGGACCCCAATCAGGTTGAGAATAACAGTTTCATCCCAATAGAAGGGTAGTTTAGTTTTGAAAGTCTTCAGGCCATCAAATAAGTCTAAAACTATTTTAGCAGCTTTGTCATAGTCAAAATTATTGAAAACTCAGTAGCCTGCCCATATGTCTCAGGGGGAGACAGTAATGAAGAGAATCACATCCGTTGAACACGCAGACAGTTGTTGGAAGAAAGTGCTTACAACCTCATTAGTTGAGGAAGAATCTTTTAAGAGAAGACAAAAATGATACTGCACTGGGGTGGAAGAGCTATAAAGAATACTACTGGGAAAAAGTATTGAATCTTTCTTTGTTATATATGAATTATATAGTTTTCCTTTTCTTTAGTAAATTTATGATATGTTGCTAAAAATATACATTAACAGCCTTGTATGAATATGTTCAAGACCTACCACCGTAATAACCAACAACAAAAATAGAACTTATGGTCTATCAAACCAGCTTTCACTCTGTGACCTGAATTCCTGGCTGGGGTCAAAACAACACGTATGAACAGAGTTCAGATCTTCGTTTATTAGATGTTGACACCAGAATTACATGGTTATACATATCAGGAAGGACTGATAGCCTGGTTGAAGATGTCTGTGGGGTGACCTAATGGAGGTCTTTAAAATTATGATAAATTTTGATTGAGTAAATATGGTGAGAATTTTTTCTCTAAGCATAACGAGAGACCATTGATATAACTTGATCACCAAGAAATCCAAAAGATCATTCAGAAAGAACTTCTTTATCCAATGAATATGGAACTTGTGACGAAAGGGAAAAGTTGAAGAGAACAATATATATGTATTTAAGGAAAAGCCAGACAGGCATTTGGGGAAGAAGCGATAGTTATGATGGTAGCTTTGGATGAGAAGAGCTGGAAGAAAGTTCAAGAAGAGCATAAACATCAGCATGGAATGGTTGGGCTGAATGCCCTGTTTCATTGTTTTTAAGCATGTGTAATCCTATGTGTAATCAAATTGACAATAATTTAACAATTAATAAAATTTGCATGTTGTACCAGACTAATAGTGACACAATAAAGACAACAGACCTGGTCTACAAATCTCAACAAAAATGTATTGAGAGAGAGATAACAAGGTGTAGAGCTGGATGAACACAGCAGGCCAAACAGCATCAGAGGAGCAGGAAGGCTGACGTTTCAGGCCTAGACCCTTCTTCAGAAATGGGGGAGGGGAAGGGGCTTCTGAAATAAATAGGGAGAGAGGGGGAGGCGGATAGAAGATGGATAGAGGAGAAGATAGGTGGAGAGGAGACAGACAGGTCAAACGAGAGAGTTGCAGTGGAAGAGAGATCCCCTGAGGTTTGTCCGGAGGGAGGAGGGTAACTTCTTCAGGGTAGGCATCCTTAGAAGAGGCTTCGCAGTGGGGTTAAAATTGAATCAGAGATAGTAGGAACTGCAGATGCTGGAGAATCTGAGATAACAAGGTGTAGAGCTGGATGAACACAGCAGGCCAAGCAGCATCAGAGGAGCAGGAAGGCTGATGTTTTGGGTCTAGACCCTTCTTCAGAAATGGGGGAGGGGAAGGGGATTCTGAAATAAATAGGGAAACAGGGGGAGGCAAATAGAAGATGGATAAAGGAGAAGATAGGTGGAGAGGAAACAGACAGGTCAAATGAGAGAGTTGTCAATCAACATCCATTAGAACTACCAGGAGAATTTTTCTTCTGAAAAGTCTGTTAGCTGGGGTAAACCTTCACACTTGTGAGTTTGGTCTAAGAGTAACGATCATTTTATAATCATAGCATTAATCTGAACTTGTAAACAATATAGTTTGGTGTAGAATCTGTTATCTTACTTACAATCATAGAATCCCTACAGTGTGGAAGCAAGCTATTCAGCCCAACAAATCCACACCGACAATCTGAAAAGCATCCCACCCAGACCCACCTCGCTGTAACCCTGCATGTCCTATGGCTAACCCACCTAGCCTGCACATCCCTGAACGTAATCGGCAATTTAGTATGACCAATCTACTTAACCTGCACATTTTTGGACTGTGGGAGGAAACCGGAGTAGCCAGTAGAAACAGGGAGAATGTGCAAAACCTACACAGACAGTCACCCAAGGGTGGGATTGAACCATGGTCCCTGGTGCTGTGAGGCAACAGTGCTAGCCACTAAGCCACCCTTTAAAGAACACTTACTGGTGCACTGCTTGCTCAGATATAGCACATACTCCCCATCAGGGAATTAAACCCCATTCTCCCGTGTGAAAGACAAGGATACTAATCCTGTTACTAATGAGGAGCTGCTAAGTATAGGAGTAGTATAAGACTAAAATATTTCATGTATTCTATTTGCTTCACCTATCCAAAGAATATGTACACAAACTGAAGCAATTACTGTATTTCTAATGTGTTTGCTTCACAAATAATAATTCTTCTGATGCTTTGCTCTCATTTTCCTAAATATAGTGATATGTGGATTATTCTAACAGCAGTTAGTTGCCTTATTTGGATAAGATAATTCCAGAAAAGTTAAGAATCTTGGACATAAGCTAAGTTTTTCTACAGCATTCTCCACTTACCGATCTAGATGGGACATGACTGTTTTAGAGATATCAGCCCCAGCCTCTTGCAGGATTCGGATGATGTGAAAAGGTGAATCACTATTTCTGCCTGGGTGAATGATGACAGGGCAGCCGAGCTGTGTTTGTGCCTCAGCTGTAGCTTGAAGAACTTTTCGCTCACTCTCCATCATTGGCCAAGAGCAGCCAATTTCTCCGATCACTCCACACTTGATGTCAGTTCCATCAGCTCCATGGAGAATTTCATTCACCAGAATATCTGTTAGCTACAGCAAACCAAACCTGGTGATATAATTAAACCAGCATTCCACAATAACTAACATGTTAAAAATAGTGCTCATGGCAAAGATAACTGTTGTACTTCGCCCAGCAATTTCTACATAAACTCAAAATCTCCCGATTTCGCTTCTTATTATGTTTTCATGTTGTTGATAAGCTTCATCCTTTGCCACTACCCCAACCATGATGATCACCCTACCCCTGTCAATGTGAAGATTCTAATATTTGACAAGACTACTTAAAACCACTTCATCATTTCCCCAACCATCCACATCTTCATGTCCAGCCTAATCCTGCCAATGCCATCCTCTGATGTCACCATCACCTCTGAAGTTTCTCCACTTTGAGTGTCTTCCTCTGCTTTAGAACATTCCATATACTTCCACCTCTGTCACTTTTCATCTTCACCCTCAAGTTCAAAGACTATATCTTCAGTGCAGTTTGTGACAACTTAGCCAATGGCCATTAGATCTGGCCTGGAAAAATAATATCTCGCTCAGTTTACATCAAAATTGGGTCACTTTCTAGCATCTCTGGAGTGTAAGCGATATCTTGAACTTCATTCTCCGCTGGAAACCATCCATAACTCACCACCTTAGCACTGCACCCACATGGATCTTGTTGTTGATTTTGTTTCATTGCTGCTTGTACAATATCCTTTCTGCCTGCACAATATCCTTTCTGCCTGCAAACAATATACTGTTTGCCTCCAAAACAGTTATATGTGGTCAAATAGAATCCATAACCTATAAAGTATGTTGGTAAATCCGGAGGTTATCGAGGTTGCCACAAAAAACACATGTTATTTCTTTATTGCTACAATTACACCAGCACACCTTCTGCACTGGCTTTTTGAGCCTCAGTGACATTATCAATAAATGTGAGGTCAGATTTCATGTGTTATGTCAACTTTCTTCACAATTGCAGCTTTGATACTTCAATCTTTGCAATGCTATTCGATTATGTATCAACTAAACCAGAATTTCTTACAAATCAACATTGGGAAAGAAAAACTACTTAGCTTCCAGTAGAATTGACACACCTTGACCTAATTCCTTCACCTTCCTGAATATCACTTGAAGCTTAGCTCAACCATACTCAATTATTGTTACTTGGCTTCAAGCTAAAAAAAATCTCAAAAAACATAGCCAGCTATCAACAAGATCAATGATTTCTCTCCAACTTTATGTCACACCAAAAGCTGCAAACTACTTCATCTATATTTTTTGCCAATTACAAACCTCAAACCTGCGACATCTCTCCTTGATTTGGCTAATATTCATTATGGCTAAAACTCTTCACAGCTTCACTATTTAAGGCAACTAAATGGACAACAATGAGGGTCAACAATAGTGATGTGTAGGCATGCGCTAAGTATGTCATGCTGGCTACTATGGACAGGTGAAGAAAAGCTTTGGGCAGAAGCTTCCTTAGTCCCTAAATGGTATGGACAATGGTGAGTCAGTTGGGAAATTTGACAAGATCAGAAGAAATGAGATTTTGGACATCGAGAGAAAAAGTCCAATTTTGTAACAAAGTTTTGCACGGTGAGATGTGTCTTGTTAGTGATTGGCAAGAGGCCTATTTGCACACATTTGCATGCAACTAATATCTAATCCCATTTCACAGTTGATGGGAGGACAAAGAAAAAAATATGAAGAATTGGAAGTGTCACCTAGACTGAGAGACTGAGTCTGTGATTCACTCTGTGAAGCATGACCACTGTTACCTTCCATCCTCATCCAGATCACAAGCCCAACTGGAATTAAAATGGTTGCCACCACATCAAAGTGGGTGGATTAACTATTCAATTCTGTGATGGAGAGGGTTCACCTTTGTGTGATGTGTGGACCTTCAAAGTGCAATTAAATAGATACCCACACAGTACAGCTGAAAGATATCTGTTATCACAAAATGCTGTATGTGAACCTTGCACATTGATCCTTCTATGTTGACTGAAAATCCTGGTCCAAGCACTGCTGACCACAATATTCAACATTATGGATCAATCCTACGAATGCTGTGAGACACAAGTACTTTACTGCAGCCTAGAAAAATTCTCCCCTGTTGACAAAATGGCAATCACCTTCCAGGGTTCTATATATGGCCTACATAAAGTGCAGAGCTACTCACTTCACATCTTTAACAATAAAAGGTTCACACCATTGTCGCATATGCAGTGCTGATTTTCTTGGATACTATAGGGACTGGGGATGGGGGGAACAAGTCCTTATTATTGTTGCCGTATGTTTAATCTGCTACATGAGCTAAAAAGAACAACATATATCTGAATTAGGGCAGAGGTTTGCAACATCAAGGTAGAAGCATCCCACTCGTCTCCTTTTTGGGGACTTCCATGTCCCAATATTTGAAGGACTTTGTTCAAATATTCTCGTGTTTACTATGACTGCTGAATGAGGGGTCACTATATTTCTGATATTGTCCACATAGGATTATAAGAACTGTCCCAAATAGATCCAAGCACAAAGGCTGTGGTCATCCCTGCTTTCACTGCACTTGTGCTGCTGCCTGAATGGATGAGAAATGCATGCTCAAGGCCAGCATCAACCTCTGGCAGATGTGGAGGTGACCCCTATAGTGGATCTTCCAGCTATAGTTGCCCTCATGATAAAGCAAAAATACAGGAAAGTCACAGTGGTGCATCTTCCATGGGAATGCCATGCATATCAGAGAGGGACAGTGGCACTATGCTATGTTCAGAAATGGAGGTCAGAATGCTATTTCATTTGTCCAGTGTATCTGCAATGCGACACTTTCTTCCATTGGGGTCAGCAGTGATATAGGATGGTCCCTTCTCAGCAGGATTCCATGCAGTTCATGTTTGGCATTACTGTTCGGAGAGAGGGCATTGCTTGATTTTCAGAATCTCTGCCCCATGCAACTGGAGGATGCATCAAGGCAACGGGATGAACAATGAGATTCATGAAAGCTGCAGCATTGTGCCAAGAACATGAGAACGTTCTTTAAAATGAGCTGCACCTTCCTAGAGTGCAGCAACATCAGCCAAAGCAATGTAGACAAGGCTTCCTCGTGAACCTGGACTAGTGGAACTGAGTTATGTGAAGTCATTTCTCACTGACTGCAAATGTTTTGATGTTGTCGAGACCAGCATATCCTGTGTAATTCCCTGTGACTGCAAAAGTACAGATTAACACTTTCATCTTGCTATGTAGTTCAGGCTGTTTAATAAATGTTGAGTTTATAAACAGATGGAAGCCTTCACAATATCTGATAGATGTACATTCAAACTTGACGAAGTTTCATGCTAACATGAGTGCTTTGGAAAGGATAGCTATCATTCAGTCAGGGTTAGTATATTGTGTGACGTTAAGATGTCTAGCCTCTTAACCTTCATTCTTACCACTGCAGCTAAAATGACATTCACTCACACAGCTGATGATGAAAAGTGTACACATATTTACAAGTGTGATCACATATTTATATTGAAGTGTCACCAATGCCATCTATGTGCCCTCATAAGGTCTTTTTCTTCTTCCTATCCCTCCCACTCTGTCTCACTGCAGTCCCGGAGTCTGCAGCTGGAGTTGCAGGGGCCTGATGTATAGTGAAGCCTCTTGGCCTTGAAGGATTGGTTGGACAACCCAAGGGCTTTTGTGGTTACAGGGTTCAGATATGCTGTATGTATCCTGCACAGATACCTTTAAGTCCATCAAGATTGAGTGTGGAGAGTGAGTGGAGGTAAAGGGCCCATCCACCACAGGAGTTTTCTGAAAGGAGGCTTTTTTCATAGATTCATAGAATCCCTACAGTGTGGAAACAGGCTCTTCGGCCCAACAAGCCCACACCAACCCATAGAGCATCCCACCCAGACCCAACCCCCTGTAACCCACTGAATCGACACATCCCTGAACACTAAAGGCAATTTAGCATGGCCAATTCACCTAGCCTGCACATCTTGGGACTGTGGGAGGAAATCAGAGCACCCGGAGGAAACCCACGCAGACACGGGGAGAATGTGCAAACTCGACACAGACAGTTGCCCGAGGGTGGAATCAAACCCGGGTCCCTGGAACTGTGAGGCAGCAGTGCTAACCACGGAGCTACCGTGCCACCCAAAGAGACTTGTGGGTAATCTGCATGTAGTTCCTCCTTTGGCTGGGCCAGAACCATCCAGTCCCCTTGTGATAAAAGGTCATGTGGACTGAGGTCAAAGTTCTTTGAACTCAAAGTCCTTCAATGTGGTTGACTCTTAACTACCCTTTGTGATGGGCAATAGATGCAAGCCTAGCCAGCGATGCTCTGATCCCATGTGCAAATTTTAAAAACCATCTATTGTCCTGATTTTGGCACTGAGCACAAATGGCTAGAGCAATACAGTATAGGTCTTTGCACAGACCCAGCAGATATTGAGTGTGTTGAACCTCCCATACTAACCAACAACCTGTGCATGGAGGCAGCCAGATGTTCACATGCCAGAGGCAGCACGATACAAATAACATGGGTGCATTCCTCCAGTCTTCAAGTCAATTTGCCCAGACAAACTGCAAAATAGGGTTGCAGTTTGGATTTATTAAGATAACATTTACAGAAGAGGTAAGGGGAGGGCCATACAGCATTTGACAATGATTCTTACTTGTTTGTTGGGACATGGAATGTTAAGCAACACCTCAAGAGTGATCTCTGTTCTCTGCCACTAAGGCAAGGATGCTCTCCTCGTAAGGACTGAGGAGATAGATGTCAGGTACCACACCACCCTTCTTAGATCTGTCCACCCAATTGTGGGCAGTTTTCTTCCCCTGGACTGAGACAAAGACAGGGATTAAGTGAGATGAGAGATTAATTGAGATGTCTGGCGGAGATGCTAGTGCTACTGCAAGTGGAGGAAAGATGGGGTGGGCTTCCAGGTGAGTGAGTCAGCTGTGCAGATGCCATGCAGGGTTAGTGCTGTGAGGGGTAGGGATGCATGGGGGTAGGGTAGTGGTGGTGGTGAGGGGGTGCTGCACGAGGTCGACAGAGTGAATGAGGGGAAATGCTGCATGCAACAGTGAGAGTGGCAGAGAGAAGTGGTGGCACTCGCCCTTGCAGACCACAAAATGTCACTCACCTTCCTGCAGTATTATCGTGTACATCTCTAGACCATGGACATCACCCTGACCTAGGTGGCAACTTCAGACCAGGCTGGTAGGGTCTGGTGCCATGGTGTCCTCTGTCTGTCCTGAGGAAAGAGGACAGCCCTCATCTGCAGCAACCTTCCCATCAGGAGCTCCAGGCCCCTGTCGGTGAAGCAGAGAGCTAATCTCCCTTTCTCAGCCACATCTGAGGCAATGCTTCACACACATCAACCATGAAGGGCAGCTCCTGAATGACAGCCTGGCACACAATTGCATCTTAAAAATGGGACCAGTGTCAGTGCAGGGAATCCCAGGAAGTCCCAGCAATAGCAAATAATTCTGCCACTAGAAAGTGCAAGACAAGGTGAGCGGACACCATTGAAGTGTGGTGCATAGATAATGAGGTGCACTGCAGACCATAGCACAAGAAATTCACAAGAGCCACATAAACAAACAAATCCTCTGTGAAACTCCCTGAAATGGACACATTGCCAGTTTCTAGCAAAATCCAGCCATTTGTATTTTTATAGCATCAATATGTCATTCAAATTCATCTTCAGGCTCTGCTCTGTGCCAAGGTTTGTCTCAAGGCTTATTCTAGAAATGTAATTAAATGTCCATGTTTCTGTTTACCTCAGTGCGATGAACAAGACTATTTCATGGTGGTGATTGAATTCTTACTAGCACAACATTCAAGCACTATCATCTATAAAGTAAAATGCACATTACTTGAATGCTTTCCTAGAGCAATAGTAAACTGATGGAGGAGAGGGATGGGGTAATAAAACACAGTCTGTAAAACCATACACACACACTGGCACTACACTAATGATTTCAAAAGCTGCAGGGTCATGAAGACAGTTATGAGGCTTCGTCAGTCACTTGATGGCATTGCTCCATATCAACTAAGGAAATTTGATGTTGTTAATCTGCAATGCTATCAATTGAACTCAGCCTAAGTAATGTAAGGACCTGACTTGATGAAGTTCCTGAGTCCAGTGGAGGAAGTATGCTGAATTCAAATCCTTGAATATTGGTGTTCTTCTGCCCCTAATCATTTCATTTCTGTATGTGAGTTTAATTTCACATGAAGTACAATTATTTTTATTTTGAAAATATACAACTACAATGATTGTGAATGATGTGCTAGAATTAACTAGTTATTTATTTAGATCAGTTTTAATATTTGTAAAACCACCTACTGTATGCAAAACTATTTTGTTCTTTACAAACAATTTAATGTGATGGGATTTCACCATGTACATCCTTCAGTAATGTTCATGAATATTTTGAGAACTACCTTAACTGTGTTTAGCACAAACAGAGAAGTCTGATAATTCCAAGATCTGCTTGACTATTGCACTGAGAAAATACACTTTACATTCTGTCTGACTCACTCCTGCAAGCTCAAAAGATAAAAAAATCAGCCACAATCAAAAGGAATAACAGGTGAGCAGTATAATGGGAAGTGATTTGCTTCTGCCAATTTACACCCCCACTGAAAATGACCTCCCTAATCAATTTCACAACTCTTTGAGACGTAAGTAATGCCCTTCAAACTTATTAGCCCTGCAAGTGTATTTTAACAAATTTTAGGAACTGAATGATTCACTAAAATTTGGGGCAATCAGTTTCCATTCTGGCATCTAAATAACTGCATTGAAAAGAAGTGGACTGACTTAACAACTGACGATTTTTAGAAATAGAAACACTCAATTTTTTTTTAAAAATTGTATCTATTCAGTACATTTCTAAGTTTGTAAGATTTACAACATAAAGCATTCAATGAAGCAGTACTGTGATATTGTCATATAGTCCACTGTGTTATAATTTTTACTGGTTTATTTTATATTAATAATGGATTAAGTGCAGTAGCATGGTCAGTCATCAGGATGCAAAAGTATGCTGTCTCACTCAGAAGAGCTGTCCTCTACAGACATAGAAGGCCATTATTTGCCAATATTATTATAACACCATGAATACTTGATGAACATTGGGATCATCACTGTATCTTGGGTGACAGTGGAAAGACCAGACTAGTAAACCGCCATG